AAAAAATCATTCAAGAAGAACGATGATAAATCGTTCGCTCCTCCTCCCTTCCCCGATTTTTTCATTTTTTTTTATTATTTTTTTCAAAATCGAATTGAGTTAAAATCGAATTGAATCAAATTGAGTTGAGTTTAAAATTTATATAACTCGAATTAAATCAAATTGAAAGATTTTATAAAATAAATTTGACTTGACTCAACTTGAAAAAAGAGAGTTGAATAGAGTTGATCTTTAAACTTGACTTGACTCAATTCATTCAGAACCCTAACTACCAATCTTAAGAACCTTCTCTATCGATATAATTTTCTCCACTAAATCAAACAATAGTAATCAAGTATTTCTGATTTCTTGTTTTGATTCAATTCTATTTGATTTGCATTGTCATTAATACTAAGTTTCTTTCAGTTAGGCGTTCCTAAATAGCTAATACTTTCATCTTCTTATACAAAAGTATTTCATATTGTTAATTTTCAAGTATTTTGCTTTGAACAAATTTATTATTAGTATTACTTGTCATGATTGTATTTATCTTTAGCTAGCATATATTCAAATTTATGTCTGAAATACTGATCATCAACTGAAGCAGTGATCACCAGCTCAGAAGAATTTGCTAAGCTATAGATTTCTATGTAATGATATAATGGCTGATCACATAGTTAGTCTGTGAAATATTATTTTTCACATATATCGAAAGTTGTGTATGCTAACCAATATCTCTATTTTTTTTCTATACAAACATGAGAAAAATGTAAAAGAAGGTTTATATGCAATACAAGACCTATCCTATAAGTTAATAGTGATGATAAAAGCATATGTTATAAAAGGCTGAGGACTTTGGAATTTTGAGATCGCTAGGTATAAAACTAACCATATGTCTTGTAGGGTAGATCTACATGTGAAAAGGTATAAAAATTTTGTTTTGCATATGTCTTCATAGAACTCTTGGTATTAGATGACAATATTAATTACGCTTCATACCTCCTTAATTCTTTCTTAGCAAGATATAAAGCATATAGAAGTATATAAAAGTTCAGCCAACTTTCTCATAAAATTTTAAGGTAATATATTTTATCGTATATTTTAGAAAAAAAGAATGTTTTAAATCTGTACAAATGAAACTTTATTCACTATAGACATTAATATTTAGGAAAAGCATAATACCAGAAATCAGGCTTAATTGTCTTGTTGTTCCTAGTGATTTAGTTAGGAGAATTAAACAATAACATATTATTACAATCAAAATTAATAACAATGAATCCGTCTATTCTCTCAGATCACAAATTAAAAAAGAACATATTTTCTGATTTGATGATCTTCTAATTATTGAATTTGTAGTCTATGTAATTCCTTTAAATTCAGATAAAGTGCTAGTATTGATTAATGCTGAAGAAATGATGATAAATGTGAATAGTAGGAGACAGGATGAAGGACAGGTGCTAATTCTAATACTCAATATTCTTGATCATTTTCCCAAGCAGCTTTCTGAAAAAGATATTCATATTATAATTTATTTAGATATTAAAATACTCCAGTATTGAAATAAATAGTGATATAGTCATGCGAAGCGCTTTAATAGCCAAATTTTTATGTATTGTAGGTTGAATTCTGGCAACATTTTTTTTATTTTTTTAATAAAGTATATATTATGTTTTTGCCATAAATGTCATGTGAAATTATGTCGCCTGACTATTCTGTACTACATTTTAATTACTTATATATTGGGTAAAAGCATTAATTGATACAAAAAAAATCTATCATTTCTTTCTGAACACTGAAACTAAAATACTTTTTATTTATAAACCAGCTTTACCTGTAATTGCAGTCAAGTGCATATTTTTTCGCAAGTACAAACCTACATATATAAAATCTATATCTTTATAAGCTTTATTACCTATTTCACCCACCTCAATAATAGAAGAAATTTCTTCTCAAATAATATCAGATGTGATTAAAGATTTTAATACAGAGAAGTTATCGATTATTTGAGAAGGAAAGACTTAAAACTTAATAAGGATGATATTAAAATTCTTCGTAAGAGAAAATATCTGATTTTGCCTTTCTTGACATAACTAAAGAGGAGTTTTGAAGCTATAGCTTGAAGGCTGATCCTGCAACAATATTTGCAAAATTTATCAAAGGTCTCAGCCAGAAGCTACAAAACTATTTCTCGCTTAAAACTCTCGATAACTTAAAGAAAATATCACATAAAAATAAGGTGAATAGGGAAGATATAACAAACATCAAGCAGTTTACTCCCAGTAGATAATTTAATAATGATGATAAAACATTCAAACACTGTATAGAAATATTATCTTAAAACTTTTGAATGTGAAAACTATGACCGATATCAACAAGGCAATGCACTGTAAATTTATTTCATCGATTCTCTATGCATCCATCACTATAATTAAAAAACTTACCTTCTAAGGTATATTTATAATATTTCAAAAGGAAGTTTCTGGTGAAGATGCTACTGTCCAAATAGACTACGCGATCAAAAATCTAGAGGATCTTCTTTGCATCACTGAAGGGAAATCACAAAATATTAAGATTGAATATGTTTAAGTAGGCCTACTATTCACATTTTCACTTTCTAACATATTAATAATGGTTTATTTCTTAGAATCTAGCGCAACTTGAAAGTGCATTTCAAATAAATAAGAAAAAATGAACTGCAGATTAAGCATTCAGGAATGACTATTTCAACTATATCTATGGTATTGTGACTATAAGTACGGAGTAGCATTTTATCATATATATTTCAGATGGCATCTTCTCCACAAGTGGTAACAAATATCAGATTAATCTTACGAAGTCTGCAATTAAAGATAATCTTGAATTACTTTAAAGCAATGTAAAAAGAGTAATTGGTATAATTGTTAGGCTGTTAAAGGATAGGGTTAGTGTAAATAGTTTCCTAACTAGTAAGAGGGCTAGGATCAAAAAAATAATCAAAAAATAATATATATCATGGGCTAGCGTCCTGAATCTTATATTTATTTTTGCATGTATTAATAAAGCGGTTTTTCATTTGCCAATAATATTGAATAATTTTTGTTGTATATAAAATATTATCAATTATGACATCTGAGCTTGAGAGCAGAATCAAGGGGTTAGAGAAGGGTAGAAGAGATACTGATGCTGAGATTTATGAACTTAAAGCTGAAGTAGCAAAATTAATGTGCAATATTGATGAACTTAAAAAAGAATCAGAATCTAAGAAAAATCACAAATTCCAAACTAGATGCATCCAGATAGCTAAGAAAATTTTTAATGAAGAACCTATGATAGAATATCGGTCTCCCTTCTTAAATAGATTAGAGCTTGATACCTTCTTTCAAAAATATCGAATCATATTAAAAATGCAAGGGGCTTAGCATCAGTTTCATAGCATCAGTTAATATAAAGATATCAAAAAACTCAAGGATGTTGTTAATCGTCATCAGCAAAAAAAATGTATATATCAAGATAATGGAATCTTCCTTCTCGAGGTATGGTATGATCAAAACCCAGAATTGTTATTCTAGAAAGGATACAAAAAAACAAGAAGCTCATTTGTCTAACACTCTCCCTAATGTTCTTTTGAACTTCAAACAATTCTACAATCTGAATGATCTCTGGTTATTACAAATTAAGTTTCTCTCTACTACCCTTTTATACCTGTTCACTAATTCTACCACTTATAAGAATGTCTTTACTATAAAACCTTTTCAACTCCAATTCTAACATTTTGTATTATTTTTCTGATGGTAGAGTCTGAACACGGTATCCAGGTTCGTCAAAAATATGCAGAAACAGGATCAGCATCTGGTTAAATTTATCTCCTAAAACCTGATATAAGCATGAGATCAGCGTCAGGTTAAATTTATCAGCTCGTTAGAAAAATGAATTAATCACATGACGCAGTATATTATCGAACTAAAATTACATAATTGGTTTCTACAATCACAGATAATTATTCCCTAGCTTCGAATATATGAAAGCATAATATTTTTCGAAACACTTTGGTGACAAAAACAACCATAACTAGCCATAGTAAATCCTTTATTACACACAGATTAATTAGCAACATTACTTAAATCGATTGGTATAAACTGCAGATAGATGTGAAATAAATTCGTTTTCACAAAGCAAGCATGAATTACCTTTCAGAATACAAACACACATAACAAGAATTCAAGTTATTCCAAGAATATTTTTTCGTGTTTATTCTCACATATGACCATAAACGAGCAAAAATTTAATATATCACACGAGATTTTGATTGACAAATACAACTTAATAAAATAAACGTACATTATGCAGTAAACCAATAATGTGAATTCTCAATTTTGAAATTAACCATTCTCTTTACTGATACAAGAAAATAGAAACTTTTTTACAGTTCATTTCAGCCCTCGAAATGTATAATTATCATATAAAAATAAATTTATATAGAATTCTACGCTTTCTGACCCCTCACTCTCCCCTTTCCCTTCCCCTCCCTCTATTTCCTTCTTTTGATAATTTTGGCAGAAATTTCGCAAATATCACTGCTTTATACCATCCTGGTGAGATACCAGTTGCATACTTAATTAAGGATTTTGCAATATACCGTTGTCCTTTTTTTGCAAACTTCTTAAATATCTTTACCTCTTTAAGAACATTATATCGTAAACATAAGAGTGCTCGAATAAGTCAAAGCATATGTTCTAAGTTATCAGTCAAAGTTGGAATAGTGAGAGCTGAAATTGTAAATGGTGTAAACAAATACAAGTCAGGTCTAATAAAAATCATTTGGCCGATTTCAACATTATTGCCTGAAAATAAGCAATATGTTAAGTACTATAACGAGAAAATATTTGCAGGCACAAAACATTTGAAAGAACTTACTAAATCCTTGAGCCAAAAAAACTTTCAATTTACTATACACTTCCCATGTTGGCAGTTTCGTTCTCGTCATGAACTTATTAATAGCAAAAACGCTCTCTTTCATCAATTTCTGCCTATCTTCATTAATTTTATCCAGTTAGACCTTCTGATACTTTGAGCAAAAATAACGGAATTTGAATTAGTCGCTCAAAAAGTTCCAACATACTATCGGCTTTAAAATCATTTTCAGGACATCAATTTTTTGTAGCAATATTTCGTTTACATAAAAAATAATTTAATGAGTCGATGAAATAAAATGTAACAAAAAACAGATATGCTAGTACATGAGCAGTCCATATACGTTCAGGGGTATTTATCATGGCTTCATTCATCTTTATAATAGTATCTAAATGACTATATACACTCTTAATGATAAACATATCTGGCATTTTGGATTGATCGTAATGCTGTGCCGGTATAGAAAAGGTGTTAGAAAGGTAATGATATTTTTCAGGTAAGCCATTCAGTTGATACACTTTTTCTTCCATTTCATCAATTAATTCATTAAATTTTTCGCTTTCTCCTTTCATATTTTTTGTCTCATAGCCTACTACCTCGTCTGCAACTTTTTCATCTTCAAAGTCCTCATCCTCCTCATCCTCCTCTATAATCTGATCAAACAGCTCTAATATTTACGTGTCTTTTCGTCTATGTACATATTCTCATCATCTAATACTAACCTATTATATAACAATTTCAACTCACTCTCATCTAAAAGTTCATAAACCTGAGTCAATATCTCTTTATTCCATAAATCTAATGTTCCACACAGATTCAGATCAATCTGAATCCAATCCAAATCTAATGGATCAGATTCAGATTGGATCTGTCAGATTCAGATCTAATTCAGATTCAGATTCGGATCAGATTTGATCTGTCAGATTTGAATTTAGATTCGGATCTGATCTGTCAGATTCAGATTGGATTCAGATCTGATTCATCAGATCTGAATTAAAGCCGAAAAGTTCCTTTTCAATGAAAGGAACGAATTTTTAGACTTCTTTTGAGCTAAAAATTTGTTTCCTTTCATTAAAAAGAAACGAATTTTCAGAACTCTTTTAGAACCGAAAAGTTCCTTTATTGAAAAGGAATGAATTTTTGGATCTCTTTTAGAGCTGAAAAGTTCCTTTCATTGAAAAGGAACGAATTTTCGAAACTTTTTTAGAACTGAAAAATTCCTTTTATTGAAAAGGAACGACTTTTCAGAACTCTTTAGAGCCGAAAAGATTCCTTTCAATGAAAAGGTATGACTTTTCAGAACTCTTTTAGAGCCGAAAAAGTTCTTTTTAATGAAAAGAGACGAATTTTCAGACTTCTTTTGAGCCAAAAATTTGTTTCCTTTCATTGAAAAAAATGAATTTTTGGAACTCTTTTAGAACCGAAAAGTTCCTTCATTGAAAAGGAACGAATTTTCAGATCTCTTTTAGAACCGAAAAGTTCCTTTTATTGAAAAGGAATGAATTTTCAGAACTCTTTTAGAGTCAAAAAGTTTCCTTCATTGAAAAGAAACGACTTTTCAGAATTCTTTTAGAGCCGAAAAGGTTTCCTTTCAATGAAAAGGAATGACTTTTTGGAACTCTTTTAGAGCCAAAAAAGTTCCTTTCAATGAAAAAGAACAAATTTTTAGAACTCTTTTAGAGCCAAAAATTTGTTTTCTTTTATTAAAAAGAAACGAATTTTTGGAATTCTTATAAAACTGAAAAGTTCCCTTCATTGAAAAAGGATGAATTTTCGGACTTCTTTTGAACTAAAAATTTGTTTCCTTTCATTGAAAAGAAACGAATTTTCGGAACTCTTTTAGAACCGAAAAGTTCCCTTCATTGAAAAGGAATGACCTTTTAGAACTCTTTTAGAACCGAAAAGTTTCTTTCATTGAAAAGAAACGAATTTTCAGATTTCTTTTAGAGCCGAAAAGTTCCTTTCATTGAAAAGGAACAACTTTTCGGAATTCTTTTAGAGCTGAAAAGGTTTCTTTCATTGAAAAAAAACATTTTCAGATCTCTTTTAGAACTGAAAATTCATTTTTTTAATAATACTTTCTGATTCAGATCAGATCGAATTTGGACTCAAACTGATCCGTCAGATCTGAATTTGAGATTCGATCTGTCAGATTCAGATCAGATCTGGATTTCAACGGATCCGTCAGATTCAGATCGGATTCAGATTCTGAAAAATGAAAATCAGATCAGATCAGATTTGGATAAAATCCAATCTGATCTGATTTTGCAGAACACTACCTAAATTGATTACATGATAAGCTACAGCATCTTGATTATCCCATAAATATTTAAGTTTACTATAATATATCAGAAATTGAACTTGATCGAAAGTGTTAGAGGCATGGATCACTGAATTTATAAAATTTTCTTCTGTATTGTCTTCTTTTGTACTATCTAGCCGTCTTGTAACATTAGGCTTCTCCTGCGAAAAATGAAACATTAGCTTTTTTACTATTATATATTCCTTGTTATGTTGACAGATTAAATGCTTATTACTGAAGCTAATTCATCACTTTGCACTTTATGCATCTCACTCTTTTCCAGGTCATTATAATCTGATTCAATTTTATCTGTATTCATAGTTTTAATCTGTTTATATTCAGAAGGTAGAAAAATGTGAGAACTTTTGCGGGTAAAAACTATCAGCGGGTTTTACTCTGTACTGACCTTTTTATTACTATCTGAAGCAGTTGCATTATTGTCTTGCATAGATTTCGAAAGACATTTGAAACTGCCAATTTTAGCAACAAAAGATGTTCTAATATTCATCTGGAAAATTTTAAATAAATTATAAGCAGACCAATTGCAAAATTCGTAGTAATACTCAATCTTAAATCACCTTAGTTAATAGTTCGTTAAGCATTAGACGAACTTGGAACTTTGCGATCTCTTCACTACTATCCCAAATGATATTACTTATTTCTGACGTTTTATAATTCTAATAAAAATGGTAACAAAGTTAAAGCATAGAGAATTATTAATGAAAAAATATTTGTTTTTTATGATATTGAACAATAGAAGTGTACACGCGAAAGAATCACATAATGAATGAAACTATCACGTTTCTCTTCCCCATTGAGTTAAGACAGCATCTAAACCCTCTTCAACAGCATCAAGAGGCGTAGTGACATGTAACTTTGCTGATGTTCCATTTCATATGCAACTGACCTTGAGCAATTTCTTCAATGACTGTACTTTCTCTGCCACTCGTTTATCAGATGCGCCAGTGAGAATGCTTAACTCGTCGCCTAACGAAGAATGAGCCTGTTCTTTTTTTGATGAAGACTTGAATTTTCCTGAATCCAGAACATGTCGAATGATTCAACTGACCATTATTAAAAGTTTATACTTAACCAGTATCCTATAAATTAAAAGTTATATGCGACTCAAAATGTGTAAATTTTGGTGATTGTGAAAAAATAGGAACTCACCTTTATACTTAAGATTAGAGGGTAGAGAAATCTTATCTTCTATAGCAGAAATTTTAGAGGAAAAAATATGTACTAAAACTAGGAAATGCGAGCGATTTAGATTATTTAAAGTGCACAAAATTAAATAATATGATTGGTAATACTCGCGTAATATATCAAATTATATATCATCATGTGATATTAATCTATCACATCCATAATAGCCCTGTTCAATTCTAGATCAGACTGGATCGACTGAAAAAATAAATTGCCAATCAGATCATTGTTACAATTGAGAACAATTTGTACAGCTCGATCGAATCATGTTGTAAACAATAAATATGGTAGGTTACTGGCATGTGTTACGTTAGTTTATCAGGATCGATCAGAGGTGAATACCTATTTTTGTGGATCGGTTTGACTGATCACTGATCGATTTAATAACCAATCATTTAAAGGCACATTTTGTGGTCAATCCGATCTGATTTAGAATTGAACAGGGCTAATAACATGGTTCAATTGTTCATACAATCGATCCTTTCTTATATCGTCTCATATGTTGGGTATTTATATATGTTTATTATAAAGTTATTGATTATAGGAGATCAAAGTTTTTGGATGAATGACCGTAAAAAGGAATTTATTACTTCATGGAATCCAACAACTAACACCCCTTCATTTGGTCAAATCATCAACAAAAACCTGATTGATAATCAATTTATCTGTTAACATTTTGTATACTCTACAAACAACGATAATATGATTTCAAAAAATTTGAAAGAAAATAAATCATCAGCCAACTCTTTAAATATACTAGATACAACCTTTTTTCTGCTGACGTTCGTTTTGGCACGTGTACTTTTGCAATTTCTACAAACAGAGTTTTTCAAATTAATTTAGTCCCTAAGCAATCCTACACCCTAAAAAATTAACTAAAACAGTTGCCTGATAAAATCTCAAGGGTGGCCTATCTCTCTTACTTCACCTCTTATTTTGAACAACAACTTCTCATTTCCTCTTCAACCAATTTATTTGACATAATGTTTTTTCCTTCTTCAACTCTAACTGAGTTCAAATCTTTACAATCAACACTCACTGACAACACATTCCTAACATTCTACACTGATGATTCTTTGATCTCTCCAAAAACAGAATCATGCTTAATGGGTTTAGGATAGATTTGTATTGATTCCTCCAATAACCATCACTCATTCAAGACATCATTGACGAACTGGCCTTTATCAACACGTGCTGAAATATATGCCCTTTTCACTGCTCTATTAGTATCACCACACTTTTCTTCCATCAAAATTTTTTTGGACAGTTAGGTCACAATCCACAGATTCTCTAAATATGTTTCAAACAACGATCTTTTTGCTAGAAAATTTGAAAAAATACCCAACCACTCTATTTGGCACCTTATTAAACATACAGTAGATACACTAAGTCTTAATATATATTTTTATAAAATTAAAGTACATACTGGTAATCACTTTAACGAAATCACTGACCAATTAGCTAAAGCTGGATGTAACGCTCATCCCCTTATCCCAGTATTGAACAACATTCCCTTATCTGATCTTGTCTTTACTTTCAATAATATATCAGTTGAAATATCTATTCGGGTTTCTTCAAACAACTATTTTTTGCTAAAGGGTGGGTCAGATATGATGTCATTCTATTAGGGAGGGAGGGAGGTGTAATAATTGATGACATTACACAAATCCTTTTTTAAATAAATAAATTAACTAATCATATGCATTATAAAGAAAGGGTGGCATTAGTTGATAACATTACACAAGTTAATTAGCCAATCATATTCATCATAAAGAGGGGGATGCCAGTTGATGATATTACATAAATCCTTTTTTAAATAAATCTAAATTTACTGCGCGCTTCAAATGTCACAAATGTTACTGCGCATAAATTTACTGCGCGTTTTAAGTCATATGTTTATTGTGGCAAATTTTTGTTTAACGTTAAACAAGTGTTATAATAGTTTAATATATAGAAAAAAAAATTTCTCACTTTCGTAACTTTAAAAAATGTAAAGAAAAAATTTTCTTGCTATTATGCTGCGGATTTTTTTACAATGAAACAAACATATTTTCAAGAGCAAAAATATTTCAAGAATTATCTTGTCCAAAAACTGTAAAATCTTTATGAACAATATGTAAATGCTTTTACATACTCTAAAATGATAGAAAGTCGTAATGCTGCATCTAGTAAAAAAGAATTTCAACTTCAAACACAAAGTAGTTGGCGAGAAGTTAAAACAAAAACTGCAAATTATATTGAAACCCTTATTTTTAACCTATTAAAGACACTCATTCAACCTTTTTTTCCTTTTTTTCATAATCTTTACAACAAAAATCCGCAGCTAAACCTTTATCACCTATACCATTTTCATCAATATCACCTTCATCACTTATATTACCTTCATCACTTATACCACCTTTACCACCTATACTAATTTCTAATCCTTCTGATAATACTCAGCTTTCACTTAACGTATCAGTACAAAAATAATCAGTTGCTATTGTTCAAAAGGCTAAAACAGAAGTGTATGAATATATCAAGTTATTACAAGTAGCAACATCATTGGAATTTCATTCACAGTTCCTTTCAAAGATCAAAAGGCTTAAGGGGACTATAAATATTAAGAAACAAAAGCTTAAGTAGTTAAGAGATAATATAGCAGCTCAACAACGAGTTCAGAAAAAAAAAGAGAAATGCTAGAAAAAGAAAATATTGTGGAAGTATATAATACATCAGGTCACCCATCATATTTAATGAATGATCCTAATCTTTTAGAAAAGATGCATAGTAGTATTAAGTTTAGAGTTGCAGATCATAAATGACGTAAGGAGGTGATCAAAGTGTGAACAATTAAGCATCTTCGTAAAAAAATGGAAGAAAATTATAATATATATATAACAAAATCTATATTATAAAATTATATGCAACCTTGGCATTCTGGGACAAAGGAAGTAAAACAATATCATCATTGCATAAATACACTTGGCAGCTGTTGGAAAAAATGAAATAAGTGATTATGTTGATGAACATTATTGTTTGACATTGGTCAAAAGTGTAAAAACATTTGCATTTGCTTTTTTACAAAATGTTGTTCTGATTTCACAAGACGATAAAGCTAAGGTATATGTTTACTATTATTTTATTAATATTTTAATAATTAGAACAAATAGATTTTTTGGATAGCAGGGAAAAAAATTTTAGAAATTTTTGAATAGTAGGGAAAAAATTTTAGAAATGTAAATAAATAGTTTATAAAAATAAATAAAAAGCTTATAAAAAAATGATTGACTTTTTGTTATTAATTTTTCAAGTATAATTTTTAAAGTATAATCAATTAAATAAATGATTGGTAATTATTAAAAGTTTAAATTGTTATCATTAGGTATTGCAGCAGTCAGAAAAACATTTAAAACAATATAAACATCAAATGAATCTATATCTGTTCCTAATTATGACTTTCCAGTATAAATTGATCTCATCTGTCTATTTGTTGATTAATCCTAATAACACAAATGATTCTTTACGTTCTGAAAAAATGCGAATCTTTATTCACACTGAATACTTTTTGAGCACTTCGTCTGAAACGCATATGATTGATCTTATAACAATTGTAGAGAAGGAGATTTATAATAAATTTACATATTATGAAGGTTCAGTAAAACCTATCTGGTATCTATTGATAGATAGAGGACCTGATGAAAATCCTCAGTTCCTCGCTAATATTTGAAAATATATGCTTATTTTTAAGAAACTTGATTTGGATTACCTTACAATGCAAACACATACATCAGGGCAATCAGTGTACAACCCAATAGAAAGAAGCATGTCATCATTATCCAGTAAATTAGTAGGCATTGTATTGAATCCTTTTAATTATGAAAAGCATCTTAGCAGTATAAATAGATAAATTTCTGTGATTGATGAAGAATTCGGACGTAAAAATTTTAAATATGCTGATGAACATCTCTGCAAACTATGAAATCGTGATCTTATCAATGGGTAAACAATTGTTGCTACATATGTTGAAAGGCATGATCATACTATATTTTCAGATATCAAAGAAGAAACGTGAGATTGGATTGATTGTCATTTGCAAATCTGTAAATATTCTTTTGATTTACAAAAGTATAAAGATCAGAATTGTTGTAAACTACTATGAACTTCTGATGCTTTTAAACTTTTATTACTAAATAATGGATATCTTTCTCCTATTATACAAGGACAAGATAAGCATTTTCTTAATCTATTGCACACATTAGAATATTTTAGTGATCGGCTTCTTAGCTATAATGAGCATTGCCTAAGTATTTTATCTGAACTGTATCGTGAACTCGTATGCCAAAATTGTGAAAATATTTTCCAACAAAGGCATTTATGAAGATGCATAGTAAGACTATGCATCTAAGTGGAAAAAAGTAATGCGAGAAAATGATGGTCAATCTATGATAGAAAATTGTGATACAGTGACAAATTATGAAGAATCATATGTGGACCAATCTTCTGACTATAGAGATAAGATCTCAGTTACACAAACTCCAAACAATGAACAAGTGGTAGTGGATGTAAAAAAGATAAAGTACAACCTTAGGATTAAGACTATCTTACATTTCGAATTAATTTGCACAATATATGATAAAATTTTATAATAATAAAATAACTATAAATTCAAAGTTTAAAATTATTGTCACATGGGAGAGTTTCTAGGAAAATCAGGTTCTGAGAAATTTTTCACTTAAATTAAGAGCTTAATACATTTTAATCTAATAACATCAAAAACTAAAATGCAATAAAAATCTTAATTTTGTTAAAAAATTCCCAGAACCTGATTTTTTTAGCAATCAACCCACATGATAAATAAAGTCACATAATTCTTTAATTGGATAT